ATTGAACTCGCCCGTCCGTGTAAAGTACAATATTAGTTACCCGCAATGCGTCGGCGATGAAAATCGCAGCAGTCACAATTCTGTCACAGTCATCCTGTATGTGGCAATGGAACCAATATACCCAACCATATACCTAACGATTTGACGTGTTATATAAAACGAGGGGGTGGTGCAATATATGGCTTACGGATCTATTGTCCTCCAAAGTAGTAGGGCCTACCTGTATCAGTCAGGTCGAAGGTACTGGTAAAAGTTATTGCTGTAGATATTTCTCTGCCAGCTTTGTAGACGTCGGTTTTGCTTCTCTCATAATGTGAATATTGATCAGAAATAATCTTTGAAATAATTAAAATTTTGCATTTTAAGCTGGGTGTGTGGAGGTTCTGAAAACGTAATAATCGGACATAACCCAGTAAGCTTGTTCAGGAATATTCTTTTACTGTTGTACGAGAAAACTTTTTGTGGAAGAAATTTGCTGATAGCACCACGCTGTAGTTAATTTTGTCTGATGCTCAGTCGTGTTTAGTTTAATGGTTTTGACTTGTCGCTTTTTAATGTTAATGATGGCACATAGATAACAATTTGCATTTTACGGCTACATATTTAAATGCAATGTTAGTGATTTATTAGCGCAAAACTCCTCATGAAAAAGAATTATTCTAACTTCGTTATTTTCTCTAAATGCCAAATGTCGACACCATTTTATTCATCAATGAATTGCAATATTGTAACCAGCAAACGCGTGTACTGGTCCATCATTACATCGTTTGTAGTTCTGGTGACAATTAACGTCCATATATGTCAATTATTTGCTTCTGTACAAGATCTTAATTTCCACGTTAAATTGCGGTAAAAAATTATTTTAATTTGATACAGTCCTAGCGTTTGCTTCATCATGACGATTTCGTTAGATTTCATTGCAATGACAATGATTAAATCAAGCTATAGTAGCAAAATGATGACTACATAAATAAAACCATCTTGACATCTTGATCAGTTGAATTTTATTTTGAATATTATTTGGATCTATGACACTTCTATAAAATTTTCCAACAGATTACCAAATAACGGTATACCGTCACTGCAGTAAGTCCACAAAGTATAAGCCTAGCGTGCTGAACATGTCTTCTTTTTGGGAGAGATTACCAGCATGCTTTCGTCCATGTTTTAACTCTGGTTGGTCGTTGTTTGGATCCAGTAAACAAGGCTTTTGGATTGTTTTATATCGTGGGTCAATCGTTTTGGTTCATCTGGTTTCACAGGTGTACTTGTACAATAACATATTTTGTATGGTCTGCCATTGGAGTAAAATGTGGTCCCTCTGCAAGCACCCGAACACCACGTACTTCTACACAATCTGCTCCGCGAGTCATAATAACACGGTGGCTGATCTGCATCTGTGACAGCGGACATAAGACAGATCGTTACCAGAACCGTCAGCAAGACAAGTTGAGCCACGCGTTCCTTCATTATCATTCCTGTAATATGAACAAGAAACGCCTGTTTAAACGTTCAATACTTTCGTCTAAATGCATTAGCATAGACGTTTCTCTTTTTCTTGAACAGCTCATCGTTAATCTATTCTAAATTAAATGTTATTTTAAATTAAAATTCGCGAAAGGCTTCTCTAAGTTCTAGCTAATATATTTGATAAAGCTTACCCGTTATGAGTAACTCAAATTAAAGTGACTGCTTAAGCTCTTCTTTTGGTAACGCCTTGTTACAGCTACTTCAGTCTCTCTGAAGAACGAGATCACATCTACCCCATTTATGTCCAAAAACTGGAAACTGGTTTATTCGCCCCTAAATTATACACATTTCCAAAAGATTGATAGTACTTACCTGGTCTAGGGCAGTAAATTAGTACTTTTTAGATATTTTTAGGTGTACGTAACAATTTCTCAACTTGACAAGAAAGTTGCTAGGTGTACATAACAACTTCCAAACTTGACAAGAAAGATGTTAGGTGTACATAACAACTTTCCAACTTGACAAGAAAGTTGTTAGGTGTACATAACAACTTTCCAACTTGACAAGAAAGTTGATACCCCCTCTGGAGCATTCGTGTATTAGTAAGTACAATACTTTTGACCTGGTTGGATAAATATTGTGTCATAATGGCACAATCACAAAAAATTACTGAATGATACGAATAAGATTGATGGATATTGGAAACCAAGATAAAATTCAGATATAATTTCAAATAAGTTGAACGACTTAAAAAAATTTAAAAAGTTTACGTGGCAGCTAGTTTTGAAGCTTGTTTAATGCTCTTGTGATAAAATGACCCATTGAACGTTTGGTCTTGGATCAATTATAAATATATAGTGTGAATATATAAAATATTGCAGTAGGTGGGGTGTTTGTAATCAGTGATCGTGAAAATTAGGGTGCGTGTCATTAAGTGCGTATTTGAGCATATCGAGACAATTGGATAAACACTTAAAATTCTGCTGTACGCGTGCATGCTAACATTAACGTTTGAAATCTTTCACCTCTACTTTTCTACAGATAAATCTCATTGTTAATGTTTATTTGATTTGTATTGAAATTTCAGGTAGATAATTATGGCCACTCCTGTTTGGTTAAGGTATTTTATTTACCACCACATGGGCCTAGCCTGCTTATCACTTGTTCTCGTGTTTCTCAGATAGAATGTTAACGAATATCAAGCTTATTTTCATAACGTTAAAAAAAGGATTTTTTTTTTTGTGGATAAAGCTGACTAAACCAGGAAGTCCAAAAAGCTTTTAATATCTCTTCTAACCAAAACTTAATTCTGCATTTGAGAAAAGTACCGACTGTCTCAACTGTCGCATTTATACCTGCATTTTTCCAAGTCCCTGCCCACTACACATTAATAGAGTTCAGTATTTGCGTCATCAGCCCAGACAAAGGCTGGGTACTGTCTCTTTGAGGAACACGTGTCTCTTAAGTTTGTAGTCTTGTTGACATAGTGGCATAGTGACTACAGATTGGCCGCCAATACTGCTACAAAGGTTCGAATAGAACTATACCCCTAGAAAAAAAAGTGTCCGCCCCAATGTAACGTTAGTAAGTGACAGCATGCAGCGAATAAGAGCGGGGAGTGTTTTGTAGTGTTACTTTAGTTGATTGACACGACCTTATTGTACTTAAGCGAAGAATGTAATGTAGACGGAGAGAAAGATGTAAGAGGTTGAACGTAGAGGAATAAACTGTAGATAGCGTAGTTAGAAAGCGATAATAAAGAATATGGGAAAACACAGAAATTGTCTAGTTATTACCTCGCGCCACCAATAAGACATGCAAAGTCAGTAACGTCGTCACACCAACGAAATGCGTACAGAAAATCAAGTCATGAACCAATGTGCTTTATTCAGCCTCTAAAAGAAATTTTTTCACAAAAGTTTACTGATTGTACTACCAATAGATACATGTAAATAACCACCGTAAAAAACCAAAGCCACATTTAGTCTTTTGTACAGTATCTTCTTGATTAGAGGACGCACCTGTCGCGTCTGTGCGCGGAGTCAAAAAGTTCTGTAACCTTTGCGCAGTGATGGTGTTTCACATACGGTGCAAAGATAGTATGGGTATTTTTGTTTGCAGAGTTATCCCTCAATTATCCATTTAAGAAGATTCTTAATGAAGTTCTGATTTGGATCAGGTTAATGTGATGTATAAAGCATCCAACATTCCAGCTTTTTGCGACATTTGAAAATAGTCTGTCATAAAAAGACGCGCATTGCATTTCAACGAAAATTGAATTAATTTTAATTTAACTTAAAACCCGCCAGTTTCACATTTTTAGTTTTTATACTGTTAACTGAAACGTTGAAAACTACCATAACCGTCAATCAAGACAAGTGTATTCATTACATAAGTCGACAGGTGAAAGCAGAAATGCACAGTCGTCTTTTTGTTTCACTGAAAATCCCAGCGTTTGGAAGCACCCAGGCCATGGAGAGAGAGGGTTTGAATCCGGTCCAAGCTTACAATTCAGAATATCCAAGTGAAAAGTAAGATCCATTATTAGATTTTATTTCCTCATTATTTTACCTTAATGATTATCGAACATTGTAACAATTTAATAATCTGGGTAATGTTCAGGTGCAGTGCAGTGTACCACACATGCCCGCTATGCTGGCTACGTACGTATACCATATAACTATAGACTACCAATTGATCCCCGGTCAAAGTAGACAAGAATTTGGGTCTTAAATCTTTGTAAAGATCTAGAAGACTTACGTTCGGTTTAATGCTGCTTTACAAAGCTCTACCATGGAAGTATGTGTAGGGAAAAAACTCTTATAGACCATTCCCAGAGACTATCTTACTAACTTTGGATCGAACTGTCTCCGGGGGATTCTTGGGCGGTTTAGATGTTAGATGTGTGTCAGGCCTGCTGAGGCTGATATGGGTAATTAACTATCGTTTAGCAGCTTTAACTTAGTGAGCGTCCCAGACGTCTAAGCCGATTTGGCTGAAAGCAATTTAGCGAGGGACCCCGTGGAGATGGATCGATCCTGTTAGATCGATCTAGGGATGGGAACTCAGTCTTAGTCGTGCTATATGACCTGAGAAGTGCAAACTGTTGCCTGAATGGGGTCACACATGAATGGTGATAGCTGGCGGCACGCAGTCGTCAAACCCCGTCATCTGGAATGCACGACCTGATATCAAGGCACGGGGTTACATGGTTTTACCAAGCTTACGGGGTTGACACTTATCCTGTGGAATGTTTCTATTCCCTTTGCAAGATAGCTGACATGCACGCTTAAGAACAATTTTAATAACGCGTGACATATATTTTTGTATGTCCCAGTGCATTTTAAGTTAATTTAACCTGCAAGGAATACATGTCGCGAACTTGGTTTAAATTGTGGTTCAAAAGTTAAAGTTGGTGCCTAAGGGTTTGAAACACGATAGCGTGATGTTTGATAGCACTATGTGTACGAGGTGCCGTTGGTGCCTTTATGATATCTTTTTTAAGGTGACGTAAATCAGGTCAACTCACTGTGGGGAAATAACACAGTCGATGCACGCATGGCCTCATATTCGCAGCATGTCGTAATCCAAAGAGGACTTGCAAAGACAGCGACTACAGAATGGGGCCTGTCAAAATAGTTGACGCCAAAGGTGCCGGCTTAACAGTTTATGAGTGGGATAATGTCTACTTTCCCAACTGGCCCTGGTTAAAGGATGCCCACTTGAAGGCCCTTCGCACCATGCCGCTACGCGAGGACGACGTCTTCTTGTGTACCTATCCCAAGTCAGGTAAGAAAACCTGGAGCCATATACCTGGCCCAGTTTCACTCTTGGTACAAGACTTTAACTATAAATCAATAGTGCACCAAACGGGATTCGAAATGTTAGAAATTTTTTTTTCGTTTTATCCGTTTAAAAAAATGCGGATATATGCAATGCCATGTTGTGAGATAATGCCAGATATATATTGGGGGAGGGGGGATATGCTAATATGACCTGGTGACATAATAGTGGAGTTTTTTTAGGGGGGGGGGGTGAAAACTGTAGTATCGATCTCGAACAGATCTCCCTCACCTGAGCAGCTATCAACACCGTTTTAACGCATATTCAACCAAAACAACAACAAGAACTACAATCTGGTACCTGGATATTTTTTTAAATGCTCATTTCTGCTTTAATAAGTAAGCAGCGAAATAAGGCCTTTGTTTATTGGGATATCGTAATAGGGGGCTCATATCTCCTAAACAAAATCATCCAAACCCATCTGCTGGTACAGGATTATAATTCACACGAGTCGTGAACCATGCTAATTTTTTTTTTTTTTTTTTTGATAATGTCGTACCTAAGCCTAGATAACATTTGCCAAGCGATGTCTGTACTGTGCTCGTCTGCTGCTCGTAAATCCCATTCCCTACGGCGGCTTAACTACATATACACATTGGCCGTGCATTTTTTTTGCTCTACAAGTGTTTATTGTTATTGGCGTAATATTAAGATAAACATAAAAGAAAAATGGGGAAGCCATTTTACCAAACGTATTGCTTTATTAAGCCTCGAGGCCCTTTACACGAAGCTAATATTCTAGAGCAATAGTTGGTGTTGTAGTCGACTACCAAGAAAATGCCTAATATTGAAATAGATGCAGAATGGCAGTGTGATTTTTTTAAATATCAGTTTTAATATTTGTTCCTTTGTGAAATCTGGCTCATGGCGACGGTCAAAGGATCCATGCTTGGTTTGACTGTTAATAATTTCTAGAACAGCCCGTCTTTTGTATTTTATCATAGTTGAGATTGGCGAGAAATTAGCTTTGTTTCACGAAAGAAGCAATACTGTCATATTATCATAGATTTGTACTATATTTTACAGGCACGCACTGGGCCCATGAAATCTTAGACATGCTTCTCACAGGGAAAACAGATAAGCACCAACTGCCCACCGCCCCTCTGGCTGGAATGACCATGGACTATATAGAGCACGAGCTAGCCTCTCCCAGAATCTTCAACAACCACCTGTATCCCAAACACATGCCAGAGGGCGCCACAGACAAGGTGAAGGTCGTCTGTGTTTCTAGAAACCCCAAAGACATCGCAGTATCCATGTACCACTTCAACAAGGTATCTCCTGAAATGGGCTACGATGGCGAATGGAGCGATTTCCTTCCGCTTTTTCTTGAGGGAAAAGGTATGTGATCTTTACTAAATGACAGAAGACGGGATTTGGACAAAAGTTAGGCAAATTTACAAAATTTACATGACCATTGTTTTGACCTTATAGACCATAGCATTCAAACTATTAAAAAATTAAAAAATATTTTTACTCATTAATTTTTGTTAGCCATTCAAATTCAAACCCTTTAAAAATGACTTCAGTAAGCATCTTGGAAGAAAAGGTATGAGTTAACAAAAGAAAAGGTTCAGAGGAAAAATGAGGGCTTTTACGGAGCCCCGCAGGGGTCATTCAAATTTTTTTATCTCGTGCGCTCGACTTACTATCTCGAGCGGCCGACTTACTATCTCGAGCGCTCGACTTACTATCTCGAGCGCCCGACTTAATAACTCGGGAAAGTTAGTAAGTCGAGCGCTCGAGATAAAAAAAAAAATTTTTGAGTGATCTCTGCGGGGCTCTGAAGGATTTGGAACCAAATGATGCAAAAAAAGTTGGCTCCATCGGCAAATTTTAAAACCTTTTTGACCATTTTTTACCACTTTCTATTAATTATTTATTGTTAATTTAACAATGTCGCGGATTTTTTGCAACTTTAATGTTATTTTGCAGGACAGTGACATCCAGGTTTAGAATTACAAGTATAAAATAGCTAAAATAAGTATTGACTTTCTCTTTCGGCCAGTATGTTGTTTCACACCTAAACCAAAGTGGATAATTGCATGATATTTGTTGTGGTCCAGGCATCTATAACTCCTGGTGGGAGTACACCTTGCAGTGGTGGAACGCGGAGAAGAAGAATCCAAATATCTTGTGGCTCACCTATGAGGACATGCAGGAGGTAAAGCAGACCATTAATAAATAAATGAAGAGAGAAAGAAGAGTGGAGAGAAAGAAATGAATGCACGTATGAATTAATATCTGAATACATGACTAATTGAACGAGTGAAATAAAAAATTAATAAGTGGAATAATAAACAAATGATAAATATAAAATTGAATGACATTGTTGTTAAATGGTAACTATTAAAGGGATCATTCAGATTGAGAAGAGCTGAGTGCTAGTAAGACCGCGACCAAAATATGGCGGGCACAGTAATTAAATATCGGCTCAATTTAGCCGGTTGAGGGACAACGCGTGGGATGGCGTGGGATGGCGTGTGAGGGGCGGAGAAACCATTACAGGATTAGCGGTCTTCCTTTCATGTAGGGCCGCCATATTTAGCTCGCGGCCTTACTACATTGTATTACTCGGCTCTTCTCGATCTGAATGGTCCTGAAGATTTGTCCTCAGCGAGTTTAAGTATATGCACTTAAAATTAAAAACCATCGTACTACCAAAGTGTAAGTTAAAAATACCATAGAAATTATAGATAATAATTGAAATATTTGCTACCTATGACTGGACTTGAGTGAATAATATCCACATATCCAATGCCACTTTTACATCTAGTAAAGTAAAGAATCTCGGTGCCGATGACAACAACGTAATAAAACATGCCATTATCTATAGTATTTATCTACTGCATGTATACTTATACAATACCTAGCCGTTAAATTTCTGAAACAGCCATTTTAAAGAGACAGGCGCTTTGTCAAAATCAGTAGTGTTATTTTCAGTATAAAGCAGTAATTATGTACATCAACTTCTAAAATCGTTTTTGTTTTTCTCCAATATCTCAATGTCTGTATGTTCTTAATGCCCTCATCATTAGAGAACAATTCATTAAGTATTTATATATATTTATAAGTTGGTTAACAAGCGCGACCGACCCTAAGAAATCAGATATATTGGCATCTATATATTTTTCTTCAAATGGAAAAATTGCATTGGTTAGGTATTTAAGTTGGAGAACCCTCAGGTAAACCTTAATGTTGCTGCTTTTATGCTCTTGAATTGTCCAAACTAGTAGGGTTTTAAAAAATATAGAATTTTAAGGACTTGTTTCTTTAACTTCAGGATTGTTTCCATCAAATCAAACGCGTGGATCAGTTTCTGGACACAGGGAGAACCTTGGATTTCATGGAAACTGTCAACAAACGCTGTTCATTCCAGTCTATGACGAAATCTCTCCAAGCACAGCACACGCGTTTCTTCAGAAAGGGTTCGTATTTGACACATTTCAGAAACTGGCCAAAGTTTCTTTTGAAAGTGTCTCTGACAAAGACATGATGAGAGCCATGCATGTTATAGAACAGGGTGACAAAAACTTGAAAATGATATCTTGTATTACCGGTTGGACAAACTTGTACCCAATTAGTTATCTAATTTCTTTCCTATACAGTTTCTGTAACGTATTACGATAATTCATAGGTTTGAACCACGGTCAAGTAATGTTTGAAAGCAGCCTTCGTAAGCTATAAATTCTGAATTTTCCTGTCGTAAACAATTTTAGCTACAATCAAATTTCATTGCTTTCTAGGTGAAGTTGGAGATTGGAAAAACTGGTTCACTGTTGCCCAAAACGAGGAGTTTGACACCTTTCACCAACAGAAAATGAAGAATTCCGACTTCACTGTCAGATTTGAACTTTGATTTTCACCTTTCTTAAGTTTTACCAATGCTTTGTATCTATTTACACGTTTCTTTATTCACATAATGTATTTAATCGTTGCTTTAAGGCAAACTATGCATATTGCATTTTTTCACAATTGTTATAGCCTTTAACATCAACATTCCTGCGGGGAATTCCATATATTTATCCTTTATAGTCTGGAGAAAAGATTTATGTAAGAAATATGCACATCTACTGATATGAATAGAATGAACAATCGACATCTTCTAACGTCGGTGACGGAGGTTTTATAATTGTATGCACAATCTTACCCTTCCAGCACAAGCTGCCCCACATAAGACATTCCTTATGCGCTTTTTATTTGATGCGAATTTCTTCGTATCGACTGTTATTTGTTATTATAGGCCTATTATGCAAGTTTACTGATATTTGTGTATGATCATTCATCGTGAAGGCTGTGCTAGTTTTAGATAAAGCTTTGTGTAATTGAGAAAGCAACAGAACTAGAATCTTTTTTTATTGTGTTTTGTTGTAAAGCATGTGACATGCAGGTGGAAAAGGACAAGTCAGACACAATGGGACCGTTCACCATGACTTTTGTCGACGTAGCTAATGCGCACAACAGTAAATCTACGGGACTCTTGCTGAATACAATCAGATTAAAAGATCACTACACCTCCTCCTGGCGTTGAGTTGATTATAGAAATACTGGCTATTATACAAGTACAATGTACAGATACGTTTCATACGTTTTAAGCCACCTCAGGCCAAACAACGAAGTACTTCACGTATGCTAGAGAGCATGAATGTCATTGAGAGACCATTACTGGATTCCTTTCATGTTGGTCCGCCATATTTAGGTCTCGGCCTTGCTAGACCTCGGCTCTTCTTTATATGAATGTTTTCTTACAGTACATGATGTTTTATCATCATTTTTACATGTCAGGAAGCCCCGCGGCCCTTGTGATTGTCATTACAGAACTTGTTTCCATTGCTGAGATGAATCCTTATCAAATTATCACATTTTGTAACTGATTCACATCATATGGCGTCACCCCGTGGTAATTTCAGATTACGATTTGTGTAGAACCAACAGAACATGAAAAGTTTTTTGGGTGATTCACACGCTGACAGAATTACTGCAGTTCCAACGAAAACCAGTTTTAGTAAGATTCGAGAACAGTACGAGGTCACAGATTACCGGTCGTTGACCTTAAAGAGTTAATAAATCTCCCTGTCATGTTACAACATATTATGCCTCCAGGGGTATGAGCAGACGATTTGTTAACAAAAGAGATTATACTGAGTATAAAGCCGGGTACATCTGTAGCCTACAACGTAACGGGAATAGGAGGCTGACAGTCTGTACTTAACCTCCGACATCAGGGGCTTCTAAACTACATGTAGGTTACAAAATTAAAGTATATCAGGCCTGCCNTATTCCATATAGAGTCCCTTATGTTCCCTAACTTATTACTAAGCCTCCGGGCGTGGCAATTTATTTCATAGTTTTATTCATTAATTCACTCATTTGATCAAATTATATAATGACAATCTTTTACAAAACTAACTCTCTCCAAGTACAAAAAATCACCCCCAATGTCTTCAAGTGGTTTTCACGATGTTAACGCTTATAGAATGCTGACTGAGTTCGGATTATGCAGCGGAGACTCACGTCCCCGTTTCTTTAAGGCCGGGTCACACTGCGCTTGCGACCTTTTTGCAACCTTTTTGCAACCACAAAATCTGGCGGTCGCTTGCGATCACTTTGCAAGATAATTAAGAAGCTGTGGCCAATTTTGATCGGCAAGCAGTCGCAAACCGGTTGCAACAAGGTTGCCTTATGGTATGTGCAATCTCTTATGGACCATCTTCAAGTTATAGGTAACCAGTCGCACACTGTTTGCCGAGCGATACACAACCTGTCTGCAACCACTTGGTGACCGAAAACCGGTTGCAGGACTGTAGCAATCGCTTGTCAACTGGTAGCAGCAAGGTCGCTCAGAAGATATATGTTGCCAACTTGTGACAGTAGCTGCTTTCCCATAAATTCCTCTCTCAAAAGACAAATGTTGTAGTAAAACGACTCCTTTTCAAAAAGACGGGACTGCTATAATCATTGACTTTGTTTACCTAAGAGGTAAAACGAGTAAAAAAATTCGAAAATACTGGGTACACCCGTGGATTGCAAGACGCCCCTTGTAAGGCGATTACAAACATTTGATGAAAGAAGTTCGACTTGAAAATCAGGAAGTTTTCCTTTCCTTCCCAAAAATAGAATTAACAATGTTTTGTGAACTTTTGAAAAGACTACACCCTTACCTAACGAAACCAGTGCTGCAATAAAAACATAAACTTGCAAACGTTTTAATCCTTATTAATCTCATAATACTCTTTAATATTTTCTTGTTCAAATACTTGGTCTCTTTGAGGTTGCAAGGCCTGTGCAGTTACGGTCACACTGAACAAAAAACCTCTTTGTGACTTGCAACTGTCACCGGTTGCAAAAAGGTCGGCGACCGGTTGCAACAACTCGCAAAGTGGTTTCCAAATGAACGCTGGGTCAATATCCGGTTGCGCCGGTTTTCGGTGCAGCACCGATAACCTCCTGGCGACCGAAAAACCTACTTGTGGTATCCAACCGGTTGCTAACAGGTCGCCGACTGCTTTGCAACTGATTTGCAACCGAATAAGTGGTTTTCCCTTTGTCTTTTTATCCTAAGCGTTTGCCACTTACAATACAACGTAATTAAATCGTGACAAGTCATGCGCATCGTGTACTTTTTACATTCTCATCCTTGTAGTGAGGATACCAAGCACTGGGAAGATGTTAAATTGTTTGTGTTGAAACTATTTTTATTCAGGTCTATTGGACACATTTTACGATTTGTTCAATTATTTGTGGATAATTTTGTTGTTGAAATTATGATATTAAATAGCAGTTATACCTTGCTGATTAAATTGCTTTAATTTTCCGTTTTCTCTGCATTCGTGTATTTGTTTCATTGTTTACTCTGATAATATGGCTTTGCAAATTTTAAATAACATACAGCTATATATAATTGAGGTTCTCGGCATTTTACCTATGATTTTCGCAAAATGATAAAATAAATAAACGTAGCGTCAAAAAATCGTAAATTGCTTTTATCATCACATTTTTTTTTTTTTTTTTTTGTTTCGTAAGTGTGAAATACCTGCCTGGTATATGAAAGCCTTGGCGATTGGTATAAAATATTGCCAACAAATGCAATTTATGTTTTCTTTTTCTAAAATATTATAATTTGTGACCTTGATATTTAGAAGGCTTACATAACAAATTATGAAAAAGAATTTGCCCAAATAGACCACCATCCTACGCCTATTTTATTGCAGTCGCTTGCAACCTTCCTGCGACATATTTTCGAACGCCTGCGATCGGTAAAAAAACCTGTTAGCGACCAAGATACTAAAGACCGTCAATCGACCATGCAGTTACAACTGCAACCTTCTGGCGACCTGCTGCCGACTACTTGCGACTGGTAAAAAACTTGTAAGCGACCAGTCGACTAAATACGGTCAATCGACCGTGCAGTTGCAAATGGTATGCTACTAGTTATAGCAACCTGCTGACAACCAAGAAGAGACTGATAGGCAACCTTTAATTTACCGATAATTTTCATCTTTAGTCGCACTGGTTGTCGGTGCACAAAAAATGGCCTTCGTGTGTCACTTATCGCAGGCGACCTGTTAGCAACCTTATGAGATCACTTTAAAACCTATGGCAACCTCCTTGCGACTGAGGTTGCAAAGAGGTTGCCAAAAGGTTGCAAGCGCAGTGTGACCCAGGCTTTAGAAATACTGAATACTTATTCGTTGATAAACTGAATAAGGTAGTAACTAAATTATTCTAGACAAGAAACAATTAAAATGTCTCAGTGGGAAGTACTAAGTCACTGTGATAAAATGTTTATTCTTTAGGTCGTTATATTAACGGTAATTAACGATCGATTTGAAACACATTGTTTACTTTTAATTTGTTCATATACATGTTTTCCATGAATTCAACCAAAATGACAAGATAAGAACGAAAGAACAAAAATCTAATCTCACTTGGACTCATTTGAATAACTTAAATGCATCACAAAATTTACCATCAATCAATCTAAATAAGTCCGGCTCTTTTAAGTAACAGGCAGTTACGGTTGTTTGATCGTCATCAACAATATTTTGGTTTAGCAACTCCTCAAATATATTCTTATGAAGATCAACATACGCCTCCACCGCCCTCCGAGTCCCTCCAAAGAAGCCACCAGCAAAGATTGGGTCTTTATTCACTTTATATTCTTTTTGAATGCATTCCAGTCTTTGTAGCTGACTTCGTCGTCGTAAAATAAAGATTACCCGATGATCGTCTGAATCCATGATTTTTTGGGGAAACCAAAGAGGTGACGGAGGCACGCGCCCAGGTTTACCTGCACCGTATCCAAAATCAATCCAGTAAAAGAACTTAGTATTAAAGCGACCGAATTGACTGGCTTTTAAAAGTAACGGTGCCTTGGAATTGGTTACGATGTTGTACCACGGGCAAAATCCTTCGGGGTGTTTCAGAAGTTTGTGACCCTTTTTAAATTCGTCTGAGGCCATGATAGTGCTGATTTGGTCCAAATATTGGGCGCAGTGTAATTCCTCTTTGGAGAGCGAAATAATTTCCGTTTTGTCCATCATGTTCGCTCTCATGACTTCCACTCGTGATCTGATTGCCTCAGGAACAAACACGATAAAGTTCGACTGCAGCGACAATATGCTTTCGGCGTAAGTGAAATATTTGTCATTATCTCTTTTATATCTTGTCCAAGAGCCCCGCCCTATGTCAAAAAATCCAGTAACAAAGGTAACATCGGCATCTGAAATATATATGTCCATATTTGAACGCATCAAATGATTAATAATGTTAATTAATGTTAATTAATTGATTAAGTAATATCAATTATTTATTGTTAATACGTCAGATGATTGTGTTATAAAGATAATCCTCATTCAAAATTGAGTGGCATCCGTATCGTTAAGTCTACAGTGTGTTAGTTGTGACGCGTGTGTTCTTTTCATTTCTTGATGAACATTAGTTTTATATTTTCTTTAAAGTTCAACCAATCTTTTAAAGTAGCACCTGTGCCATAATGGTAGTAATATTTTTACCAACTTTTCGGCCCTAGGTTACATAGGAAATGTGCTGATAATGTGTGTACCTACTCGTAGCCATTATAACACTGCAGTCGGAGGATCTTGGTTAAATAGAGGTACATGCAATTTCTCTCATGATTGTGTTTGCTGTGCTTTGTGATGTGGTTTGATTTGGTTGACGCTTTGATAATGTACTAGTATTGAATGACAAGAACTAAGGCTACCACATTACAATACACGTGCTAGCAAAATAATACATGTGCAAACCACATGTATGAAAACAAAGTGAGACATTCACTACAGCATATATGCACTAGACCTAAGGCCTCTTACACGGTTGGCACAAACTACCGGTGGTAGACTTAAAGCGTCCATAATAGCTTTTGGTCTTTCTAGCGTCAGAAAATCGGTCTACAGTTGTTTTCAGTATACTGTACTAACCGACAACGGTGGCTTCATCTTGGTCCGAAAGTTCTGGGACATCTGCAGGTACAGACGAACGGCCACCCATGTCTGCCAACGGCGTGGGCCTCTTCGTTAACAACGTCACCCCAACCCGTACTGCACTATAAGGCTGCTAAGCTATCATTCTAGCCTCTAGGTGTCCAACCACAAGCTATGAAATCCCTATCAAATTGACTTCAGTTTCGAGTTTGAAGCTTTGGAAGATGTCTTGTGTCTTACCCGAAGCTGTTCGTATAATATGTTTGTAGTAATGATGCACCGAGGAATGCTAAGTACGCTGACCTATATAGACGGCTCTCAATAAAAATAAACATATAACCCCGATAATGTGGTAGCTGGGGGTACCACTGTACTCATCACACAAAACGCATTCAGGCGTTTAAGATGAACTGCGCCAAATGTGATTCCTTCAGCATCGTGTATGAAGCGAAACAAAATGTGCTACTTCTCTAGCACAATCGAAATGCTGAATTTTTGAAATCTTAGGCTCTATTCCCATAGATTTTAGATCGATCTATCCCCGCGGGGAGTCTCACTAGATTACTTTCAGATAATCCGACTTAAATGTCCGTCCCGCCTACATGTACTACAAGCTGTGCAGGGGTAATTAACTTTCGTGTCCGCCCGGCTGACAGCTATTTAGCGTGAACCCCCAGGGAGTTAGGTCGATCTAAAGAAGGTCGATCTAATCTATGGAAATGGGGTGCTACTATCCCAAAGCTCTCCTCTGACAAATTAGCAACCGGATACAGCTATAACCTATTTAATTGGTAGTTTTACCAATCATATATTCCACCTGTTTACGAAATTTTGTCACGACTGTGGCTGAATATTGAGACAAAACCCGTCAGGCGTTTCCCCTAGAATCTAATACATTTGCTGATAATGCTATTCCAAAGGAAATGGTTTAAATCTTACTAAACGGTGAGGAGAGAGGTGTACCAGTATCACTGTTCAACATTTTGCTACAGGTTTATTTTTCAGGTATAACCTTATACAACTAGGTGACCAAGACTGTGTGTCCATTATTCTCAATTTCTTTCGACCTGTTATTGGTTTGAAAAATATTTTTTTAAAGATCGGTTGGGCTAAGACCATGGAATATACAAAAACAGACACGCTCTTCAAGGTATTTTCAAACGCATTTAAAACTGTTTTCTATTTTGTCACGAATAACAACATCAATTTGCAATGAGAATTTCTTTATCAACATTTGTTTGGTCCATGAGCCATTCGTGTTAAAATCGGGGGTTCGCCCTTTTTGTCAGGAAAAGGTCCTTTCTGGGTAAAATTTGAGCTAGGTACACAAAGTTTTTTTCGGAAAAAGAATCCCTCTTTTGAAATTGCTGGCTACGGGCCTGCGTTGTGGAATAACGTAGGGAGATGGTCGTAGGCCTATTTCTTGGCGTTCAAATACTGATCAGTGCATCTGAAGGTACATTTTGTATAGTTAATTGTTAGTACATTTCCAAATGAAGCCAGGGTCCTTAAATGAACCACCAGCTGATCACACACCCGCTTCTTCTTGACACAACACCTACAATAGCACTGTTATTGTATCGTTATTACATTCTTCAGTATTTACTACAAAATCTCGGTGCTGGACCAATATTATTCCCGTGCATTCGCCCATCAAATAAAAATGTTTTTTCAATTTTTGTTTATCAGTTCAACGTGGATTGTCTGTGCGGGTAAACACGCTGTTAGGGCCCGGGTGGCTGCCAGTATGAAGGACCGAACGTTGACCCAAAAGTCACATAGGGGAATCTCTGAATTGTGCATGTTAGTCGTTTATTTCTTTCTTTACACAACTGCGCAATTGTCCCCTCACTTCTCCTTTTCGAAAAATAAACATTTTCTCCACATAAAGGGCCAAGGGGCAGCGCTAATCTTACGCTGAGTTAACTCTCAATGCTCGTTACGAACGCCGTTTTGATGACATAAAACACGCGCTGAGAATACGACGTGACGCAGACAAAAGCTAGTATTGTCTTCGATAGAAAAACAGATGCAGTGTTGATTGAAAACTATATAAACCCTCGTATTTACAATCTTGGGGCAGAGTAACCTATGTTAATCTTGGGATTATTATACATCAAAATGCTGTCTAAACGCGGTTTTACTGATTTTGTGATACTAGTAGGTATATCAAGATGAACGAAAAGCAGCAACAAACCAGCGCAACCGAGGCAATATGTAAAAGAACTTCGAAATTCGGCGAGTCATCTACATTTTACAGTCTTGAGTTTTAGATGGTAAAGATTTTTTATTTTACTTTTTACAAGTAGGCCTTTTTATGCTCATCAGGCTACGATGTCTATTAAAACAGAAGAAAAGCACGATCTGCTCACGGTAGACTTCACGTACCCAGGATCTATGGGACGATCGCCGATAACGAAGCAGAAACGCAAACTTTTGGTCAAGCGCGTGCTAGCAGAGGAGAGAAACTTTCTGGCTTACGAACAAAAGTTGTCCTTGATCGAGAAAAACACGGTGAACGACCTTGAGAAGGAAAAGCAAAAACTGCACACAACTTTGGAAAAACTGACGGAACACAAGCCGATATTGCCGCGCAGGAGAACGCGCAGCGCTTCCAGCTCGGACGCAAACGCCTTACCTGTTGCGGGAGTCGAGCGCCACCGCAAGCCGCAGCCGGAGCAACAACCAACGCTCTCACCGACGCCGTCGTTTGCTAGACTTCAAATAGCGATGGTCGCCGCGGCGTCGATGAGGAACAGCGAGCAGTTTTTACCGCCTTCTGCGCCACCGCAGGCCCCAAACACAGCCTGGGCAGAACACGAGGGTACAGAAGGGTTACTATCAGACGCTATTTCCACAGGGACGCAATCATTTTCTAGGGGACAATTCTCCTCACAAAAGTCCTCACGAGAAAACGTATTTGAAACGAAAACAAACGGTTTTAATTCTTCCTCAAATAATGCCAAAACCAAGCGCCCCGTTCGTAGCCTATCTGACTCCGACTTCCCTGGCATGGCGCAATATCTAATTCAGAAAACTTGTGACAATCTTTGCCTGTCGCCAAGAATCGCACACAGGCGTTTCGCCGCCAGAGCGAACGCAGTGAAGACACCCTCTCCACTGACCAAGTCCCACGACCAGGTTGACGGCGGGAGCAGGCCATGTCAATCGCCAAAATCGCCTCAGCAGCAGCAACAGTCACTGCAGCAGCAGGTGAGGCGAGAGGAGAGAAAATCTCCCTTATCTGAAAGTCCTTCAAGTCCTAAGCCATCAGCAGCGTCGCTACGGAAAACGTTCGTCCGCTCTCGGAGCTGCTCCGACATCAAACAGCTTCGCAGCGGTGTGCCGGCAGGTGGGCAGGCGGCGGGTGGGGGTCCCTCTCACGTTCACATCTCCCCCAAGACCTCACCGTCACTGCCCAAGAGGTTGACAGTAGCTATCAACATTCCCATTGACAATACTACCAAGGAAGCTGCTCCTAACAGTCCCACAAGTCCGCCAAGTCCTCTCACCCACACTGGGGAAACCATTAGACAACAACTTGACAACGAGAGGGAGAGAATGGAGAAACTTAAGGTGAAAATTGCTCAGTTTTTCGGAGAGGAACAAAATGAACATTTCCCTGCGCTTCGCGAGAGGTCGAACACGATTATTGGACTGGCGCGTCCCTTAAAAAATAAAACGAACGGAACTTATTGACATTTTAAAACACTCCGATTTTGTCTAGAAGCGTTGCTATTTTTTTATGTCATAAGTTATTCATTTGACTTACTGATAAATACATGTAAGCTTTTTAAATTGAAGCCCTTTATCTTAAACGGGGCCACATATAGTATATAGCAGCCAGCTCATTACTGTTATCATTTCATCGATTAAGTCGAAAATATCTTTAAACCCGACATTCTCTATCGTAACAAATTGGCGCATAGACATACATAGCTGGGTGTTTTAAACATTCAAGCTTCATTTTTATGTAAATGCCATAGACGTGAAATGTGGACATTATTTTCAAATATACCAAACAGCAGACACGCTATGACGCAGTTTCAACTGAAAACTGTAATAATAAACCTGAACCACAATACCGTCTGGAATGCTGGCGTTTTTACTGAGTCTGTAAGGAATGGAAATATTGAAATGCCCCCTGTTACGCGAGCTTGACCGGTGCCCAGTGACTTACTGACCAATTTTTACACCCATTGTTACGCGTCTCTTTCACTGTCACGCTCCAGTGGAGGAGATGCATGGCTGGAAAATAAGGAAATCCCAATAATAAAAGTGAAGTTGTTAACAAGGTGTGGATACTTGAGATGAGGTGGTCAAAATATAAACATGTGCAACGTACATACAGCGTGAACCCAGTTTTCAGTAAGGCCAAGCAGTAATTTACTAGTTGGGAAAGGAAATCTACATATGATTTAAAAAACGCTATAATTTCCATTAGTCGCGGCTCTGGTACTACCCTTAGTATCAGGGCACTATACAGCTGCACCTTTTCACGTGAGCTGGTCATACCGGTCTACAACCCAGATTACTGGTACTAGCATCATTAAAAGAAATGTGCACTGGTTTGACGTCATACCTAGTCACTAGGCGCCGTAGACTGGCAGACGTCACGAGGCCGAGTGCCACGTGCTTTGAACATCAGTTTTCTTGAACATATATCAGTATGACTTCATGCTCATCCACTCGTTATATAATACTACAGAAATTGTAGGCTCTAGCATATATTTTCACGATTTATATAATTAAGTTTTGTTTTATCATCTCTTCCTTTCCTTTACATGGTGAATCTATTTAACTTACAAGAATTTTATACTCTATTAAATAAATAATAACAATAATTATTATTATACAATAAAAGACTTCAACTGCTCTGTCAAAATTTAATTTATTGTTTCTCATTAACAAAATTACCGTCAACAATAACATATTTGCAAACATGGAAACTGGAATCCAGCTGTCCTACATGTATCATCATTGTTGCCCAGTCAACTCTTCATTATATATAACATGAGACAAGATCACATGAAGAAGAATATGTTCTCATCCCCAGAAAGCACATTTAAATAAACATAATCTTATCCATCCAAACATATCATCAGTATTTATCAGTAAGGCTGTAACCGTGTTAGTTGGAATAACAGCAGTTTTTCCTGACGCTAGTTAGACGTATCCTGAAGACTGTACAGCTATCCATTTTCATCTGCACTTGCTTGTGTATGATGTGGGTTAGACAGTCTGATCATCAGGAAGATGGAGTGGCCATCACCATTAGGTCAAACTGACCATAAGATTATTAGGTCATCCACTTTATTAGGTCAGGCTCAGGGTTAAACTGACCATCAAAACAAGGTTAAACTGACCTAAGGTATGGGTCAAACTGACCACCATGAAAAGGTCAAACTGACCATAAGATTATTAGGTCACACTGACCATTTTAGCAGGGTCAAACTGATCTCCAAACCAGGTCAAGATGACCACAACCAGGTCAAACTGACCATCACAGGCTAGACATCCAGATAACATGGTCAGACAGACCATTTTAGTGGTGTCCACTGGATCATCAGAAGTAGGTCAGTCTGGTCTGTCCATCTTTGGCCCCAGGGTTCCTCTCGTAGGTCAGCTTGACCCTCTTAGGGGTGTGAGGGGTCATCACCACACAGTGTGGAGGGGGGCAGATGGACTCCTCACTCTCTACAAACAAGGAGACATTTGTTAAAAGAAAATCAATATTTACAATAGCATATTGTGCAAGTTATGAGTGTCCTTCTGTATAAACAACTGAGAGGTGGTCACCTATAGCAAGATGCATATAGAATACGAAGTCTGATGACCACGCGCAGGATGTTGAGATGGCTCTTAGAAGAAACAGCCAGCCACATGTGTGGAGTGAGTGTGTCAGAGCACCTGTCTGGTTAAGAACACACCGACTGCCACTGGTTTGGTGTTTACTGTACATAATCTGTGTATTGCACTCTCATCAGATTTTATCTACCCCTAAGTTGGCTATACAGTTTTATATATTATGAAAGTAAGAATGATGATATTTTCCCTTCAAATCTGTATTTTCTGAAGCCAACAAGCAGTTTTAATTATATCTGACAGACAATTTTATGACATTTTTATTTCAAAATGAGAATGGTAATAAAAAGGTTATTGAGTCAAAATACTGCAGTATTGCAGGAAAGTAAGCACTGATGAAGGTGAGGGGGGGGGGGGGGTGTCAAGTACCTTGGGACTCATCGGCACTACTAGAGGGCACCTGGTGGTCATCCAGTCTTCTAGGACCACATGTGCTGTACTGGCCAGGTGAGTGTTGGTCAAGTCTTCTAGGACATCTGGGAGAGTCTGTGTCAGAGTCCAGGTCCATGGGCGGAGATTCATTATGTAGATGAGGTACAGCACCTGGTGTGGGGGCTAGAGCAACAAATATATAAATAATATAATATAATATAATATAATATAATATAATATAATATAATATAATATAATAAACAGATACAAACCCTACATCTAATACTTTTAATACTAAAAAAAATTATTTCTCTCAGCTATCACTGACAACATACAGGGATGGGAATGAATATTGCTTAAACCCTCTCCACTCCTGACATTTTCTATTTTGAAAACTTCTACAAAACCCAGTGACTTTTTACACTCTTTTACACAAAGAACATCTAAAATATGGAATACTCCTATCTTTGTTACTAGTAACATTCAGTCACATTAAGCCCGGCATAAAATGAAGCACTCAACTGGTTACTAATTAACTGGTTGACTAATTTATCAACTCGCTTATTAACTACTTTAACACCACCCAAATACATGGGTGACAGTTGTAAAACCTGAAAAATTTTCATTGCATTGAGACCATATTAAAAACGATCAAAACTAGAGGATCAGAGAGGCGATACCGCCTCCGAATATTGTACCACCAGCTGGAGCAAGCGCATTCGTATAGACCCCCACATACACAAAATAAGGAACACAGCCACCAGTCTTGTGCTTGACAAGCTGTAAAAATGCAATCAACAAGAATTTTCAAAATATGCAAAAAATATATGTATAACTAAAAATGGTACAATCAAAGTTAAGTTCATCGTAAGGTAGGTCAAAGGCCAATTCCAAGGTCACAGTAAATTGCCAGTATATGACTTCCTATTCAACTTCAATAGTAACTATGGGCCTATCTCTGCCAGGTTTGGAGTTAAAAGAGAAAGAAATTAGCAGAGTTCAGTTCATGATAATAAGTAGGTCAAAGGTCAATTTTAAGGTCACA